TCCCCGTGCCTCCCTCTCCTCCTGCAGCACATCCGCGTGGGCTGGGAGCAGCTGCTCACCACCATCGCCCGCACCATCAACGAAATCGAGAACCAGATCTTGACGCGAGACGCCAAGGGCATCAGCCAGGAACAGCTGAACGAGTACCGGGCCTCCTTCAACCACTTCGACAGGGTCAGTACCCGTCCCGAGTCATGGTGCAGACACAAAGCTCCAGGCGGGTGGAGGTGGTGGAGGTCATTTACACTCATTTACACTCGGATGAATACAGACAAGGAAAAAAAATAGTTTTATTAAGAGAATAGAACAGTTGGACATTTGGGAAATGTGTTTATTTGCGTTCTTGGTTGGAGTTTGATGAGCAGATCGACTCTCGTATCCATCTGTTATGTAGAGCCAGCAGTTTGTTAGCTTAGCTTTAAAACAGGGGTAAACAACGCGCTCCGTCCAAAAGGTCAACCGACCAGTAACTCTAAAACACGGTAATTAACACGCTGTATCTTTATTTTAGTGTTTTTTTAGTCGTACATTTTCCCACGTTGCGGAGGCTTTATGCAAAACGTAACTTAATTATTAGTGAGCTGTGCTAAGGGCTAAGCTAAGCTAACTATCTGCTGGGTTCATTCTGAGACATTGGTGTAGCATCGATCTTTTCCTCTAACTTTCAGCAAGTACATTTATTTCCCACAATGTTGGACTTGAACAGGTTTGTATTTTATATATTTAGACTGCATCAACAAATCAAAGACGTGAAGGTGAGGATACATCACTTCTGGGTGTGTCGTGCTGCCCGACTTTAACGACCCGTTGACTAGAAAACATAAAATGTAACCGTGTGTGTGTGTGTTGCATCAGGCTGCGTATCAACCCTACAGCTTCGTTAAAAAGGGACTTTCAGTTCGGTGACACAAGGATTCATCTTTTTAGGGAGAGTGACATTCAGAATTAGCCTCATGCGCCATTGGAAATCTCTCATTGTGTAACACAAGAAGGTTAGCATTAAACGCAAAACAAATACTGAGCAGGACAAATGGAAGAACAAAATCTCTCCATTGAAGGCTGTTTCTATACAGCCGCCCCCCCCCTCTATCTCCACAGCATAGTGTTTACACTGGGGCTCCGTGTCAGAAACCACACCAATTAAGGATGGGTCTTTATTTAGCGCCCCCCCCCTCAGCCAGGCTCTCCTGCTGACTCCACCATTGCCTCATGCAGTTTTCCAGAGCTGGTCTACTGTTGATCAATACCTGAGGTTTAGGATCAGACGCATGAAGCCAACCTGAACTGGTTCTTTTGTTTTTCACAGTTTCATGGTTGGGTGGTTTGAGGGGCGGTTGTGTCGAGCCACAGCACCGGATTAATCTGACGTATTGATTAGACAAAGGAAAGATCTTTCTACCTTAGTTTACTCTGGACACATTTGGTCTGCTGTTAGCTTCCCAAAATCTAAGCTTGGCTCTTTACCTTTAGTTAAACCTGAATATTACAAAACCGGTTTGAAGACATTTTCTTGTCTTGTTTTCTAACACCTCAAAAATAAACAATTTGAGGGATAATCAAGAAAATAACCAACCAAAGAATACTCACAAGATTACGCGTGTGACATATTTAACTCACTGTATTTGCTGACATCGTAAGTGGCTGAGATTGTACATGTTTATTGAAGCCTTTTTTGCATTGATGCTGTACGAAGGTAAAGAGATGCGATGTTGTGTACACGTGCCATCGACCATGTGAATAACCTCCCCAGAGGGCCCCGCAGTCTGCCTGCCACGATGCACATTAACTCCTGCGAATGCCCCCCCCGCCCGCCCCGCCACCCGCCCGGCACGGCAGCACTGCTGCCCCCGTGTGTTAACCTGCCACATCCTAATGAATATGCACTGTGTTCTCTGTTCTCCATCTCACGCATGGCCCTCTCCCTTCACCCCACCCCTCACCTCACCTCTTTTTACCCCCCACGTGCATGGTGCACTCCCTCCACCCTCCTCCTCCCCCAACACCACCTCACCCCCCCCCCACCGCTCTATGTGTTGCTGCATGGCCTGTGGCCCCCGACGCCTCGCCTGGCTCTGGCCTCCCACGCCGCAGGACCACTCGGGCGCTCTGGGCGCAGAGGAGTTCAAGGCCTGCCTGATCAGCCTGGGCTTCGATATCGCCAACGATGCACAGGTACTTCACTGTAGCCACGGCACCGCTGTGAGAGGTTTAACTGGTTTCTTTCTTTTTCCCTTTATCTGTTATACCCCTCAACCCCCTCCTCCCCCCATCCCCAACCCCTCCTTACACTTCCTCTTATTCACACTGTCTTCCTCCATCCCGTCTATCTAAACTCCGGTTTCATTTCCCGCACCTTGCAAACGCCCACGTTGGGGATTATTGCGGCTTTCCTCCTTAATTCTATTCTTTGTTCCTCCTATTCTGTTCCAATCATTGGCCTCGGCTATCCATGCCACTCTACATCTTTCTCTTCCTCCTGCTTTCGTTTATCCATCGCTGACCTTGTAGAAGAGATCAGGAATCATGGACGCTGAAGACTTCAAAACCTGCCTTATCTCCGTTGGTTACAACCTGGTAAAGCCACGAGTGCTCTTCAAGTACAAAAGTTTGTTTGCATGTGATTAATGACAGCAGTTGAAAATGGTAATGGATAGATATAACCTTCGATTTTTAATATCTTATTTTAGATTTTGATGGATGTTTTTCTTCCATAGAGCTTCATAGTAAATTAAATATATGACGGAATGTATTATAAATCATGAATTCTCAACTCACTAGTGGGATATGGGTTTGTGTTGTGCAGTGAAGAAGTTGAAGTCATATCTCTGTATGTAGAATATATTCCCTGTGCTGTGTTTTTGTTGCCATGGGGACTGTCACCGTGGCGACTGAGCCTCACAGTTTCTCTCCGTTGCCACCAGGGTGAAAACGAGTTCTCCCGCATCATGAGCATCGTGGATCCCAACCGGATGGGCGTCGTCACATTCCAGGCCTTCATCGACTTCATGTCCCGCGAGACTGCCGACACGGACACGGCCGACCAGGTCATCGCCTCCTTCAAAGTCCTGGCGGGGGACAAGGTACAGCCGCAACTAGCTGGTGAACATTTAGCAGCTAAAGTGTCAGATCGGATTAGAAAAGCTTTATTAATTTCCCCTGAGGGGAACTAATTTTCCACCAAATTGACTCCAACAGACAACAATAGACCGTTTCCACTGTGCAAAACAGACAATAAAACAATGCAATGAATATATAAATAGATATTTCCCTCAGGAGTGGTTGGAGACACGAACAGAGCTAAAAAACAGGTGGCCAGAAACTCCACTCTAATGGAGCTCATGTTAGTTTTTTATAACCAGAAACAACCAAAAAAAGACCTCATAAAGCCGATGAGCTTCACAACTGCCAAACTATTCATTAATTCACTAATATCCTACAAAAAAAGTAAGAAACCAAATTCTACAAGTTTCTTTGACTAGCTCGAAGTTTTTGTCAATCTGCAATTGGCTTTACCATTAAATTAGCTCAAAGTGGCTGAAAGCTGCATTTTACTCTTTTAAATTCAACATCCACATAGAAGTGTAAATGTATCAAATACAGTTTTCTCTTTATATCAAGCTCATTTTATTTCCCTGCATTGTCACCATTAACTGCATTTATATACAGAATGTATCAATAGCGTAGAGGTATAAATTCTATATTTAAAACCATTTTGATTTCCTTTGTTCCTCGACAGAACTACATCTTAGCCGACGAGCTGCTGCGGGAGCTTCCTCCGGACCAGGCGGAGTACTGCATGGCCCGCATGGCCCCCTACACCGGGCCCGACGGCGTCCCCGGAGCCCTCGACTACATGTCGTTCTCTACCGCTCTGTACGGAGAGAGCGACCTCTGAACTGTCAGTCGTCCCGACTCGGGGCTACCAGCCTACCTGCTCTGATCACCGCCACATCCTGCCGACTGCCCCATCACCAAACTCTTGTCCTGCTACGCTCATTTTTGTATGTCTCTGGACTTATCTTTTTGTCATTATCCTCTGTCTCGCCTCCTCCTCCTCCTCCTTCTCCTCACTGCTCCCGCACACTCTCTCTCCGTTGTATTTGCTTCCCACGCAATGCAGCAGCAAGAGTGAGAGAGAAAAAAATGTTTGTTTCCGTTTTTATTTTCTTGTTGTCGTTTGTTTTACTTCATAAAATGAATAAAGTTGACATATTTTATTATACTGAACAAAAAAAGTATTTTTCTTCACCTGATTGAAAATGAGATACAAAAGTTGTAATAAAGAGAAATTGCGATACTCTTTCCTTTCCTCTGTTTGCTGCAGGGGTGTGTATTTAATTTGTATTTGCATATGTAAATGGGGACATCATAAAACTGTAGGCATTAGTAGCACCTTCATGTCTTTATAGGTGGCGTGCAGAGTTATATTATGCCCCTGGACAAGCAAAAACAGAACCACAAGAAATAAAATACCCCCATAGAGTTATTACCTGCATAATGTGGACTTTAGAACACAGCACTGAAGACCGGGGTTTGGTTTAGGCCTTTTAGTCCTGAGTTAAACTTGTGGGGACATTTTCATCATTTCGGGATTTGGTATTATTTGGTGTTACTTCCCCATATTTTTTTACCTTTTTTTAAAATGTTTTTAACCAAATGAGTATTTTTGTAAACTACATCGGCAGTGGTTAACGGACAGAAGACTAGAACAATGGGCCTCTCAAGCTAATCTGAAATAAATAAAGTTACCAAAAAAAAAGCATTGGCCATTTCATCAGCCTTTCGTGTGGTGGTTCTCCTCAACAGTCTCCTACTTAGCTCGGTAAGCCCAGGCCCGGTTCCGCTTTTAAAAGTCTTTCATACAGAGAGTCAAATGAAATGCAAACACCCGAAGAGGTGAAGAGGTCAGCAGGGAAACCCCGCGGCAGCAGAAAAGCGCTAATAGACGGAGCGGCGGACGCGACCTGTGCAGCGGGGACGATGGATAGGAACGCGGCTCGGACAAAAGTCCGCTTCTTTTTAGCGTGAGAAATTGGATGTTTTGGCGTGAGTGCGTGTGAAAACATGCAAACGCGTGTGTCACACGGTGAAACCTGAGCTGGCAGCTATGTAGATACATTTAAAAGTGCGACTGTTCGAGGAACAATGCAAAAAAAGACTAGTAACAAACGGTGGGAAAATAAAACACCGCGAGGAGTTTAGGGATTTGTCAACAATATTTTTTGCAGTTTATTCTTGATTTTTAAAAAAACTACCGGGGCATTTTTGACGCCATCACGTTTGCCGACGCACACAGGAACCTTCAACCGAGTCTTTGTGAGTCTACGGACAGTTTAGTGCGCTGGACCGGTGCAGTAGACGCGTCTAGGCTTTGACCTCCTCTTCTTAATATGAACTTCTAGCTGCAGGGCAGTCATGTTTAACTTAAAGGCCTTACAGAAAAACAAAACTGTCAAATATGGAGTCCCTATGCTTGTAAGTATCTTTTATTTCACTTTTAAATACGTTATCCAGCGTTTTGTAAGGTTGTTAGCTTATATAGCTTACGTTAAGCAGGTATAACGTTACATGACTAGCTAGTGCTTCCTGTTCCTCACCTCGTCATGTCCTCCTTTTAGTCGTGCAATTAGTAATCTCGAAGTTAAACAGTATGTAGAGTCATGTCCACATTATTCAGGACACACTCCTTCCAAACGTCATTTAATCAAATGCTCTGCAATCCTCAAGTATCCGTTTCCAGCTGCTACTACTTGGACTAAATGAACCAAATGTACTCACAAAATGTACTACGTCTTTTCAGTTGCTGGTAATTGGAGGTTCCTTCGGCCTGCGAGAGTTTACACAAATACGATACGATGCCCAGAGAATCCGAAAAAGGGTTAGTAGTGAATTTACTCTTGCACCACACGTTGGATGGGAGTGTTGCTTGTGACAGATGTGACGCCATATTACGCCCATTTCCACAACCACAAGGAACCAGTGGACACTTCCGTGGTCTAAAAGACACTTGTCACCGTCCAGCCATGTGCAATGACGTCTCCCAGTGGTCGGACACGGTAGTGGTCAGGCAAACTGTTCGGGGGGGGGGGGACTAACCCTTCTATCCAGAAGGCACTGCAATCCGATGAGCTTCAGGGGGCGAAGCTGTTTCGTGCCATTTTACTCTTGACAAAACACTGATGCGCGTCATGTGGACGGAGCCAGATGGCCGGGGCAACTTCTCTTACTGCTGTCGATGTGAGGCGGCACTAGACCGTGGCTCACGATGGTGGAGGGGGGCAGCTGCGGACCCTTCTGACGGGGCCTCCGGCGGACCGAGCCGCACTCCTTCTCAGACCCTGTGGAGCAAAGAATCAACTCTACTCGGCGTGTGCGTGTGCACGTGTAATTTAATGCATGGAATATCTGAACAGTTGTCGGAACTGCGCTTCTTACTTTGGAGCTGTTCTTAGACTATTCCATTATTTGGTTCCCAGAGATATTCACCCGCTTAAATCATTAAACCGCTGTTTGTGTTATCCAATGAGTATTTTCTCCATAATCATATAAGTCAGCATGGAGTGAAGCCTAGTTTATGCTAGGAACCCAGCTGCGTGTCCCTTGCGTGCCTTTTCACACCTCCTTGCGTCCTTGCGTGTGTCGAGCCATTTTTCACTTTCGACGTGAGGTGAATTGCTCTGCAACACACGCAAGACTTTTAGAACCATGAACGTAAACGAGTGCGTCGACGCAACGACGCAGACGCAGACGCATGCGGCAGCTGTAAGTGATTTTAAGGCCTTTTGTCTGTCTTGTGGTGGTCAAAGAAACCTAACTAATTCCACTGTCTTAACTCAGCGAGAATATTCTATGTATTATGTCCTTGCTGTGGTAGTGTATGTCTAAAAATCAATGATGGAGTTTTGAAACTCATCCGTCAGCTGAGTCTCCCTCGCTTTATGTCTGTGAAATATTAGAACCTAAAAGTAATGATTCAGAATGGGATGGATTTCTCTCCTATTCTCGGGCTAAATCGATTTGAATTGCAAAACCTAAATAGTTCTATCGGACTCTCTCTCCCAAAACCCTTAGACACATCGTTTTGTCTCCTAATTTATACATTAAAGTAATAATATACAGGAACGAGGAGGGAAAAGCTGATTCAGTCGAAAAAGTTGCAAAAACACAAACTGCTTAAACTGTTTTATTATTCTTAAATTCACACCGTCACTTTGTTTGAATTTTGCTTTTGTGAAAACCTCAACGTCTTTGTCTTTGACCCCTCTTCATTTTGTGAATTGTTAATCAGCGCGTACAAAGCTCTATTTCATGACTTTTCTTCTGTCGCTCAGCTGGATCCTTCACTGGAGGCCAAAGTGAACCTGGAGAAGCAGTCAGTCATGCTGGAGGAAGAGTACGAGGTAAGGAGACAGATGGCACCCCGAGGGAGAGGAGGGGAAGGTCTTCTTCACAAAGTTGAGGTTGTCGTCTGACGCGGTTCTATTATCCATGTATGGAAAGATTAAGATACACCTCAATCTGAGAAGCTGTTCTGAGGAATCATACCGGCTGCTTAATTGTCACCTACGTTCTGTTTTCAGAGTTCGGATGTTTTAAAGCTCATCTCCTGTTGTCGAATCTTTGTCCTTCCTGCAGAAGATGAAGCAAGTGAATTTGGATCAGTGGAAGAACATCCGTGGTCCTCGGCCCTGGGAGGACTCCAAGGAGTACCAGGAGCAGCAGCGCACCAGGCAGAATAAGGAGTGAGGAGCAGGCGCGGGAGGGTGGAGCGGACTGAACGCGCCCTGCAGCCGGGCGGATATAAGGAAACGGCGGGCGCAGTCTTGTGGTCATGGCGCGGCTGTGACCCCCGACGAGCTGCAGGTCTACGGCTCACAAGTGGGGGACTCGACTTGTCTGGTCTTCCGTAACAAGCCGCGGTCCCTTCTGGTGTTTCACGCAATCCGAACTGTAAGAGGTTAAAAAGACACCACCTGGTGCAGGACGCATCGCTCTATTGTTTTGCACTCACCAGCATGAAGGAGTCAGCTGCTCCCCGGTGCTCAGGAGTGTGTGAAACAGACCACCAGTAGGTGGCACATCTGTGTGCCGCTGCACCTTCGCCTTCCAGTGGAGAGCGAGGAAGGAGAATTAATGTTTGTGTAAGACTTCCATGTTTCAATAAATTATGTTCTATTGATCTAAATTTTTACTTTCACTTTCATTTAGTTTCTGACAAAAGCTTTTAGTCTTTGTTTACACCGGGGTTGCATTGAAAATAATAAATAACAGTGCAGCCTTTCCTCAGGCTTTATAGGTCTCGACAGTAATCCGTTTTTCTGACAGTTATTATTTTGAAACGCGGTGGATTTATTACGTTTATAATGGAAATGGTATTGGCTTTTTGCTTTTTTTTTGGTTCTTCAATGCAGAAGAACATGCTTTTTGCTGCAAATCTTGTTGGTGCAAGTAGTGTTTGGGTGACAGACGGATAATGAATGCACTGCCTCGCCTCGTTCTGATTGTGAAATGGGATGTCATGAATATAGTTCAGGTTGAGAGGTCTGTATGAAAATGTCCTGGGACACATTTTCAGTAATCATGTTTTTCGAGTCACTCTAATATTTGCTGTTTCTCTGGCTGTGGATATTACGAGACACAAACAGCCCATACGTGAGGATTATTTTGTTCTTCATGCACAGGTTGTGCAGATGGAAATCTTGCTTTGTCGTCCTGCTTGTTAAGGTGTTCAGCCTGAGCCTTTAATCCACCGAACATGTTAATCAAGCAATTTGTCACAGAATCGGCAGTTGTTGTTCTGTGTCGATAAAACGTGTGGCGTGTGCTTTCTGTCTAAATTTAGAGTAGTCACATGTTGGTGCGTCTGTAATCTTAGAGGTTGCTCACGCTGTTATTCTGGATGCTGCACAGGGGCCCCATGGCTGTTTGTGATTAGATGTGTACTGTCTAAAAAATCCAAACTACACCCTGAACGCTGCTATTTCCAACCGGGGAAGTAGAAATACCGAAGATGCGTTCCAGCTCCATCCTTTTTTCTTTTACTTTCAATAAATACTACAGCAGACCTGACAGAGCACGTACTGCAGCATGCAGCAGACATTAGACACGTCCTCATGATATGCAACTTTCAACCTCTTTGTCATCTAGCTCACTGAGGTTTATTTTTTAAAGATAAGACGTGTAGTGGAACGTACTAGAAGTTTCATTCTGACCGGACCTCACGAGGAATCGGCAAGCTTTGGACTTAAAGATAATTCCCAAACACTCACCTGTTCCCATAGGGACTATTTCTTTTGTCTAAAGTAGTTCCAGTGAAGCCGGTTGAAAAGGTGTATGCAGACTTTCTTCTTGATTGATTGATGATTTGCGTGAACTGACTATAATAAAAGCTTTTCTATGTTCTGCAGAAGAATCGGCGTTTAAAAGGAGTTTATACGGCTGCGCATTAAACTATAAACTACCGTAACCTCCGTAGCTATCAAAGCCCCGCAGCTCCTCCATAAAGCTTCAAATCAACCGTGTGAAGGAGACTTTAGTGCGCTGGAGCAGATGATGTTGCAGCGCACTGCGGCTCTTTTAAGGAGATGCAGCGCGGGTGTAGCCATCAGAGGCCAAAGCGGTTCGGTCCGCGGGGGCCTTCATATCGTAAGAGAGCTGAAGTCCTAATTTGAGGGAAGGTCCGGCCCCTTCACGTGCTGGTACATTTTTCATTTGGAAACGCAAGAGAACGGCATCAAATATTCATTGGACTGGGCTAAGAAAAGAGCAAATCAAATCCAATATTTACCACTGCGTACGAGCGGGAGAACTAATGAGCTCTTAGAAACAAGAACCGCGTAGCCGGTTCAAGCGCTGAATGACTATGATAATCCTGCGCGTTTCCGTGGGCTCCTTCTGGCTGCGGGGCCCCGGGATCGGTCACATTTTCACTTCCAATTTGTGGCCTTGCGCGCTGCCAGATCCTCACAGCTCCGATGTGGAAACACTGGGCAGAAGAAGCAGTCAGCTCCCAGTCATTTTGGCTGTGGATGAATGAAACGATCTTCCTCCCGAACACACACACACTCCACATGAAGATTAATTACCACTGCTATTATCTCACGGGAAGATTACACAAGTGATTATTCAGCTTCACGAGGGAAATACAAAACCTTTGATTCGGTGAATGGACGGAGGATCCGCCCAGTGAGCCCTCAAACCAGGCGCATGACACAACATTTTGGTATCTTTTAATAGACCAACTAGCTGTGAAAGAAAAGCGGTTTGATTTAATAGCACAGGCAGAAAAGTGACAGGTGAGGTAGGGTTAGCACCTACGAATGCAAAACCGCTGAAGACTCACTCTGAGTATTTCATTGGATATTAAAAGTTATAATCCTTAAAATGGTGTTTTGATCATATTTATGGTTTTATCATCACTCTCTATAACGCATCGACAGGAAAGTGTTGACTGTTTGCAGCGAGTCACTTGTGTCATGTGCAGCGTTCCACTGTAGCGAGTTTAATACTAATGCGGGTTGTCGGTCATTTATCACTGTACACCGATTCATTGTCAAGTTAAATCATTTATTAATTGGGATAAAACAGTTCCAGGCTCCAGACATCACATGTGGGGAATGTGGGGAGTTGTGATGGTTCACATGATCTGACACGTTATAAGGGTCCAAATGTACAGCCGGTGTGTGTGTGTGTGTGTGTGTATGTTTGGGTCAATCCGCTGTCCCACATGATGCTGCAGTCACTGATGCTTCAACCTTCACGGCATCTACTGACTCACAGAAAGCTGCAGGAACCAAACAACACAAAATAGACTTCTTCTGCATGGCGGGGGGGGGGGGGGGGGGGGGGGGGGGTGAGCGAAATGGCCTCTGTGCTTTTTCTAGTCGGTCTCTCTCTTTCCTTCCATTTCTATAAATAGACAGACGCTTGGCAGCTGAGGGGTAGTCCACGCAGAACAAATGCACCCCCCCCCCCCCCCCCCGGCTGTTTCACTTCATTCCCCACATAATGAGCCATGAGGAAGGCGCACAGATCGGCGCCGTCACTTCCACTCTCCCCAGGACCGAGGCAGGGGCCACGCGTTTCCATGGAGACGTGGCTGTTGGGCCATCGCCCACCCCTTCCCCCAGACGAGTGCACGTCGGTCTGACCCCGTCCGCCTCCATCTCATCCACGTCATCCCCTGCCTTTTGATCCTTCTCCTCTTTCGTCGGGCACCATCCGGCACAGGGGGAGATGGGTGGAGTCCAGTGTCCTACACTCTTCCTCTGTGTGACGTAACCGAGTCAGCGCGGGTATCCCTCGCTCGCCCATCTTCCTCTGCAAATATATTCCAGACCAGTGAACCGCTGAATGCCCAGCTCCAATGGCTGCAGCTGCAGAAGGGTCACTCTCCATAGACGAGCAGTTCTGCGTGTGTGTGTGTGTGTGTGCGTGTGTGTAAATACTGGTCTCTATGGATCTTATTTGAGCTGAAGGGTGCATGCAGATGGAAAGCCTTGCTATCTGCATTGCACTCTGTGTATCTGCGTGGCGGTTTTATTTGAAGGGAGGGTTTATTAGTGCAGGGTAGTAAAGGTTATGTGGCGTTATATGAAGAGAAGCCATATGGTTGTGTGTGACACTATGGCGCCCGTACGGCGGGATGATGGGATGACAGCGTGTTGGGTTGCTTCGGCACGGCGAGGTTTTCACCTTGTGAGTCTGTGTCTTTTTTTTATGTGTGTCTGTGGACAGATGAAGTCAATGCGATGGTGTAGCAACCGTGCGATCACAAGACTTTTACAAGTGTGTCGGTAAGAGCGAAACGAAGGCTGAGTTTGAGGATGCGTGTGGTCGGGGGTATATACGCCCTCGGGGTGGAATCAGCGCTGCGGCTGGTCGCATCGCATCGCCAGATGGTCTGTAGTTATTCGTGCAGTGGCTCCTGGCCTCTTTGGCTTGTCGCCCTGTAAAGGGAAGCAACTACGTGTGGTTACATGTTGTTGCCAAAGCCTGATTTGAAGGGTTTTACGGCGTGAGGAGGTACAAGAGTACAAAAACTAAACTGAACAACTTGTGTGACATAACCTTTTCTTCTTCTGTGATTTCAATTAGGACTGTGTTCTGGATGGGGCGATCTCATGGTATCTTTTCTTCATTATCAGCCACGACAATGAAGCAGGTGTTGTTTATATCCTGGGAATCTGTGTGTGTGTCAGTCCTTAACATCATGGCTCCGTGTGGTTCAGGAGATCTGTACTGGTAACTTCTAGAGCAACGGTTTATATTTCCAACAGAGGACAAATTGTGGCAGCGCGATAGTGTCCCAACCATGTGAGATGCAAAGTCGACATGGCATTACAGACGCAAAGCAATTGCCTGAGAGTAACCGTCTGAAAATACAGCAGGGACATTCCACAATGTGGAGAGCGCATCTCTAAACCTGGCCGAATCCAATATGCACTTACCAGAAGCAAATGTTCTTGTCGTACTTCATTTTGTAGTTTGGGTGAACCGACCCTTTTTTAAAGCATGCAGCCTTTTCCTTTAGCTTGCTGTGTCCCTACACACCCAATTCGGCGTTTTTAAGCAAGTCCTCAAGGGGTGTTTGGTGCGTTGTTCTGTAGCCGACCCCCCCACCCACACGCCTTTCTCTGAACACACACACACACACACCCACACACGCTCACCAGGACAGGAAGGGGCCCTCCAGGCCTGAGGTCTTCAGATCCTGATGCGAGGTGACGCTTCACCTTCCTCGCTTCACAACTTCGCTGTTCATTACCGACCGTCATAAGCGGACGTCGCCCAGAGGTGGAGTCAGCGTTAAGTCCCCCCGATGACCCCCACCTCCCCGCCTCCCTGCCCCTTTTTCGTTTACCAGCCGGAGCGCACTCCGCCTCGCTGTTTGTTCTTCTCATCCCACTGAAGTTGTTGCAAGCCTGCAGATGATCAGCACGAGCAGAGTGCCGAGCGCGGCGCGGAGAGACGGAATAAAAATCACAAAGTGCAAGAGCAGCTCTATTTTGTGCTCGGCGGTGTGTTCGTTCCCTCGCCCAGATCTTCTGCTGCCCGGGCCTCATAATAAACCTCATCTGGGGAGACGCAGCTGTCAAGTGAGCCGTGGCAGGAGCAGGAGAGGAGGGGGAATACGGGAAGGAGAGGCGGCGTCGCTCTGCTCCCGCGGGATCGATGCACCCAGTCGGTTCAAGGGCCGTGCGGCCACCGAGTCGCCGGCCCTTGTAAGTGCTGCTCCTCTCAGTGGGAAGCACAGGCGGGTCTGGTGTGTTGATTACAAGTATAATCCATTAATCATCACGGAACGCATGGGGGACTTTGATGAAGGAGGCGAGAGCGGGCATTGAATTCCAATCCCGATGTGATGCACGCGGGCCGCAGGTACACTTAAAAGGCCTGCGTGCACCATCTGTCCTGCGCCTCCACCCTTTCTGGAGCAGATAAGAAAACTTCATTAAAACATCCGGCCATATTCTCCATACTAATTACACCATCACACAGAGAGGGAGAGGAGGATGGCAGACCGGAGTGGTGGGGGCTGCCTGGCCAGATCGGCCCGTTTCTTCTCTCCCCGTCCATTTTGGGAACAAACATGGAAATATGAACAAGTTAATACGATTCTGTCCCATGGTCTATGTAATTAATTATTTTTGTTTTCTGATTTGCATACCGGCTCCTTTCCAGAAGAAATATCCGTGTCCCAGATCTCATTCTATTTATATTTTACTTTTAGGATGTACTGCAGCTGCACCAATCAAACGTAGGGACTGTTGCATCCATGGGTGGTATCTGACATGGGGTTAGGGTCAGGGCTTTCTGTCAGTCTGTGTTCTCCCTGCTCAGTCAATGGGACGTCTCCTCTGCTGCACTGGGGATTGGGGGTCAGAATAGCAGGTAAAGAATGCAGGCTTGCACACAGCCAGGTGCCACCTGATGCAGTTTTCTTTATCCTAACATCATAGTACTTTTGGCCTACTGCATTTGACATACATATTGGGACACTACTTACAAATATGCAAAATACTTTCCTGGCATACTAGTTTGTACACACCAGAAAGAGATACAGCCAGCTTAGTTTAGAGCAAAGACTGTAAGCAAGCCTTCAATAATGAATCATGCTGAATCAGTTTCAACAGCCTTATGGAGTTCTATGAGGTATTTATTTGCTGTGTGCTGCGACGCCATATTTTCACTCTTTGTGCTAAGCTATGCTAACCGGCTATTTAATGAGCACACATAACAGTGGCCTCTTCCCGTAAATCTATGCCAGAAAACAACGTGGTGTATTCCTTAGTATTATTTAAATGTACAGATGGCATTATGGGTTAGCAATTTGCAGACATGTTATATTGTTATATATGGGAACCTTAACAAATCTACATACGGAATGATCCCCTTCATGGAACAGTCCGCCATATTTCTTCCGTAGCTCATCCGGCACGCTTTGCACGCGGGAGAAGCTTTCAGTTGGTTGCGATATGCAACCTCACCGCTAGATGTCGCTAAATCCCGTCCCATCTTTGAAAGTCACATTTCTATCATAAAAGATGTAAAGCTGGTTAAAACCAATCAAGCTGTCCTTGATCAAAGGGGGGGGGGGGGGGCTCTCTGCTGACACTCATGTCATTATTACCATGATATAAAATAAGTCCTGCAAAATTGTTGTATACAGCACTCATAAATGGGATTTTGCAGACTGGTTACTGGTTCTGTGTGTGTGCATATGATGCCCATTTGATACAAAATCATTCTGATTTAAACGGCAGATTTAGTTTGAATTATGAAGCTATTTTCCTCATCTGCTGTGTTTGGTATTTGTGGCTTGTGGCCAAAATACGTGACTCTGATCCTCTTCCCATGTTGTGTCATATATTAGCAGCACGTGACCAAACGGGCCCCTCTGTGTTTGTAGAGGTAAATAACCGGCTGAGACTTCAACAATAAGCTTATCCTGTTCACCCTCCCTTTTCTTAGCCCCCCCGTTGTGAACCCTTGCCGTGGACCTGGATGATAATCGTGCTTTGTGGTGCAGGTTTCTCATCCCAGCGGGTGGTGACGTAGTTGCGCGACTGTCG